CACACGTTTTTCGGAAAGAACACAAATACGGTCCCAACTATATCACACATATGGTAAATCAACCTTATTCGCGTATGCTCCACGATACCGCAAAGGTCGCGGAACAACTACTGGCGACGCCGATGTGTCTACGCACAATTCGACCATACACCGGTTTCAACAGACGAGATAAGGCGACGACTATCACCGGGCAGCGAACGGCTTCCCCACTACTATGTTTAATAGGTTTCGTTTGGGTTAGAAGTGGAAAGCGGCCACATATAACTTGCCGCAACAATATTATTAACCTTCCGGTGGACGCGTAGCAGCACTGTGTGCTGCCANACCAATATATATTGGTACTGTTGCGTCTTAAGTTGCAAAAAAGACAAAAATCAAAGTCGACACTGGTTGTTTATAAGAGAAAATAATCATTTATTGATTATTGGAATACACAAAGAGTAAGACAAAAAGACAATCGGAGCGTACACGAATATGTAGGTTAAAACTATTGAAAAAACAAAGAAAAACCACTGAAGTTGCCGAATGAGTAACGTGTCGATCCTTGTGGAATACTCCAAGCCGGTATGCATGCGATAGTGTCACGAAGCTGACTGACTGGACGTATTATTGCGGCGGGGTATACGACGCTAGGCATTTGTTGGACTTTACACCACGACGATAACGCGTGTGTGTAACGGTCCGGTTTACAGTGAAGCGGTGGCTGAGAAGGAGCTGACACGACCGCGGGGTGTCAACGTGTGACAACGCCGTGGCCGTGTCAAATACCCCCCCACCAAGCCGCCGCTGTACTCTAGAAATCAAATGAAATAGCGCATATGGCGTTCCGTGTTTGGTCGAATATATTAGAGTGCGCATAGCGCAATAACAAGCCGCAATACTTACGTTGTATGTTTGATGGAGTGGGTGGTAATGCCCCGCGGAGTGCGCGCAGCAGGGAGGGGTCTATGGAGGGAGCTCTTACTCGGCCGGGGGCTCCGGCTGTGCTGGGGAGGTGGGGCAGGAGAGGAACAGGTCCATCTCCCGAACCAGGCCGTCGTCCTATAGCTCCATCGGCGTCTCCGGCTGCTCCTCCTGTGCTGGTGTCGTTGCTGGTGTTGACGCCGCCAGCACCCCGTCCACATACATGCCCGACGGCCGGCTGACAATGGCTGTTATCACTGCTAGGGCTGCTGCTGATGTTGTCGGTGTTGTTGATGTTGTAGGTGGTGCTGTTGTTGTTGTCCGCAGTGTTGCGGTCGGGGTTATGGGCGGTGTAAGGTCCTCATCGACGACGACCCCCCAACGTCGTAGCATATACTCCCTGTACTTCTTCGTCCGGCGTTCCCGCTCGGACGGAGAGTAGTACCGAGGAGCTTTACTAGTCGTAGGGGTAGCCGTCGCTGCGGACCTTCCACTGCCCCTGGCGTATAGATGCTTCGAGCGACGTGACGTGGGTGGGGCGCTGTCTGGCCGCGTGGCGCGGAAAGACAGTAGTGGCCGAGGGGAGGGGGCCACCCGCGTATTGCTTGTGGACGCCTCCCCTGGGCGGGAGAAGTGTTGGGCCGCCACAGCACATTTTTTATTGATAATTGTTTTATTTTTAATTTGCATTTACTTATCATAAAAGGAAAGAAATTGATTGGATAAATTTGTGATGATTTACTTTTGTGCATTAAAAATTATTGTCCATATTTAAAATTCAAAGTTAGTTTATTATTATTATGTGTATACAGAGTGATCGGTTTAACATGAACCACTCGATTGCTCTCAAAATAAATACAATATTGCAAAAAAAAATTTTATTTCTTGATTTATCAGCTAATAATTACTTTTAAATATCATCCCTTATAACTTAGAGGGGTTTAAACTTTATTTTTTGTAAATGGAAACATACATATTTAACTATCCTATAAAATCTACACGAGCAGAGACAGCAATGATTTTATACATTATGTGTATTACATTAACAACAGCTAGAAAGTTAACGGAACAGTAATCGTTTATTACATGGATTCTGTGGAAAACGTACCTTTTACGCATAGCAACAGTCGAGCGCATACGTCATTAGTCACACTCGTAGAGCTCCCTCGTAATAATAGGACCAATCTAGTATCTAGTTATCCGTCAGGCAATGTTTATTAAAAATTCATTTGTTCTGGCAACATACATACGAGTCTCGAGACCGTAAACACCTGAGAGACGAAATACAAATAAAAAACACATCGGAATTTTTTCAAAATTTTCAAATAATATTTTACGTTGATGTTTTTTATATGGGTTATATTTATATGTAATAAAAAATACTCTTTAAAAGGATTATTCGTACTGTCTATTGGTTTACCAATAAAGAGGATTGATTGGCCTATAAAGTTACCGCAGCCACCTAAACCAGTTCTAGAGGTGTTATCAAATTTAATGAAATGTAAAATTGTGCACAGTATTGAAAATTTATTTTTAGGTTTGTTGCTATAAAAAACGATCGCGACACCTCTAATGATTTGTTAGAATGCGTTTTATTCTATATTTAATTTATCGATCGTGTATTTATCCACACATTTATATTTATACTATAATGAAAACAAGCAAATGCATATGTTGTAATAAAACAGTCATAATTTGTATCGTAATAGATAAAATGATTACTAATAAAAAAAACCTAATGGTTCGAAGTTCTGATAAATAATCGATAAATGATAAAAATTTTAAATTGTTTACTTATTTTTTAAACAGATTTTTTTTTAATAAATATATTTTTTAACAACCCTAATGTTATTTCTACAATATCGAATTATCATGGCTTTTATTTTTATACGAATACTTAATTTTATTATAATTTATTGTCGATAATTAAGACACGCAGTTCGTAAAAATCATATGTTCATAATTTTTATATACGTTGTTTTTGAAAATTTACCTACAAACCCAGTTTATTGTCATATTTCTCAAATTACTCTTGGCGTATTACATTTTTGTTATTTTTAAATTTTTGATACAGGTTTATACACAAATAATAATAATTATTGTTTTCGGTGGTAATGCGACATACCTAATTTCTGTAACTATATATGTTTGGAAAAAGTACTCCTTTTTTAATTTTTTTTCGGTTTACGCATAATCAAGATATTATTTCATAACAAATGACTATTTAACAACAATTTTTGCTGACGCTTTATATTTTTGGTGACAGTGATGTAAGTATTTCTGAACAATTTTCTATTTGTGTTCGGTATTTTGATTCGGACACATTCTCAGTGCAAGAACATTTTCTTGAATTTAAAAAAGTTGAACACATAACTGGTGAGTATTTAGCTGACACCATTATACTAATATTAAAAGAAAAAAAATTAGATCTTGCACTGATTCGAGGACAAGGATATGATGGTGCCGCAAATATGAGTGGTGCATTTAGAGGAGTTCAATCTCGAATTGCAATTTTACAGCCTCTTGCATTTTATATTCATTGTGCTAACCATAGATTACATTTAATGCTCAGTAAAACAAGCACGGTACCACCAATTCGTAACACAATCGGAATTATAATAAATATTTATAGCTTCTTAAGTGAATTTGCATTAAGAAAATTGAGTGAAAAAATTACAAAACTTTTCCCATCCCAAAAAGCAGTAAAAGTTAAAAAGTTGTGTGAAACACGTTGGGTCGAAAGACATGACGGGATTTTACATTTTTTGGAAATACTACCAGCTATAATAGTTACATTGGACGAATTAAGTTTTAACAACCATACTGGAAGCAAATCACAATCTCTGTCTGCAGCCATTTGTAATTTTAATTTTAATTTTATTTCATTCAATATTTATTTCACTGTAGTAATACACAATTTTGGAAAGTGAAGGCAAAAAAAAATTTTTTTTCAATTATAATAGCTTATATTAATAAACACAAAATAGATATCTGGCTTATTGAAATATATAAAATGTAAAGTATATACACTAGCTATTATTATAATCTTATAATAATTTTTTTTATGACTTTTTAATTAAATTAATTTTAAATAAAAAATTAATTACGATAAAATATGGCGGACCGTAACTCAAAAGATCACGATGATATTTTATTTTATTTTTACTATGATTTAGCGAAAAAAATGGTCTTGAATCATCCTACTTTAGAAGGTAAATAAAATGAATTGAAATTTTAATATTTATACTATTATTTTTTACCATTTCAAAGTTGAGTTTATTTTGTTTATTTAAAAAGTGTATTTTGCTTATTGCAATAAACACTAATAGTAGTTAGGTAGTACTAGTGTACACAGAGTCATTTTTTTATCATAACCCATTCAATTACTTACAGAATAATAATTATTTAAACAATTTTTAGTTTCATATTTTTTTTTTTTTAGTTAACAGTCCAAAGATTTCTCAGCTTTCCTTTTTGATTCGCAATAAGACCTGCAGTCTATATCTTTAACTATTTGATTAACGTATTCCCGTGGTGGTCGTCCTCTGCTGTTGTTTCCTTCAATGGCATCTTCTATTATTCTGGTTAGTAGACTGTTATGACGTAGTCCGTGTCCAATTAGCTTGGCTCTTCTTGTTTTTAATGTCTTCAGAAAACTCCTTGTTTCTCCGGCTCTGCGATAAACTTATTCATTTGTTATGTGTTCTGTCCAAATTATTCTTAGTAGCCTTCTGTAACACCAAGTCTCGAACGCTATGAGTCTTTTTTGTTCTGTTTTACCTATGGTCCATGTCTCACTTCTATACAGTGCTACACTCTAAACATAAGCCTTTAGTAGGTTTTTCCTCATTTGCATCAATATTTCTGGATATTATCACATTTTTCTTGCTCTGAAATGCACACAGCCTGGTTTATTCTGCTTATGATCTCTCTGGTATTAAGGCCGTCCTCTGTTATCTTACTTTCCAAGTACAGTGAAATTCGCTTATAGCGATCTTCTAGGGACCTAGGGAATCTGATCGTTATAACCGAACTTCGTTATATCCGGATCATAAAAAAAAAATAATTTTTTTGAAAAATTGATTTATTAAACACATTTTAACATTCAAGGTACTAAATTTTAATAAATGTACAGATTATAATACATATATAGTATACGTTTACGATTTGTTTGAAAAATAATCTTTAATAGTAGTTTGTTTATAATTTGAATAAGATTTTTTAACAAAATTAGAAATATTATTTAATGCCATTGATACTTCTGGCGTATTTATGTCACTGTTTACCGAAACAAAAGTACGCACCTGATCAATATAAAAATACATTTCCGAAATAGATGGTAATTTGAATACGATTTCTTCGCTCTCTTCGTCAGCTTGTTCACTTTCATCATTATTTGCATTCAAAATAGACTTGACAATTTCTTCTTCATTGGGTTCTTCATTGGTCAAAAGAGCATCGTCAACCTCCGCAAAACTTTGTATGTTTTCTTCAGAAAAACACTCTGTGTCCAAATGATTTTCACTTACTACTTCTGTTTCGTCGTTTACCAAAGCCTTGAATCCAGCGTGGTGGAAACAGTTTCTTATTGTTGTGGTAGAAACATCATTCCATGCATCGGAGATCATTAAAATTGCATCTAATACTGAAATTTTAATATCTTTTCCCTGTTCCTCTTGGTTAATAATTTTGAGTACTAGTTTTTCCCGAAATTTCACTTTTAATGCTTTTATAATACCTTGATCCATAGGTTGTAACACAGAGGTCGTGTTTGGAGGGAGAAAAACCAACTTTATAAAATCAGTTTGAACAGGAGGATGAGCCGGACAATTATCTACAGTCAATAAGATATGTCGTTTTTCCTTTGCTAGTTGTTTATCCCATTCTTTTAACCAGTCGGAAAATATTTCACCGGTCATCCATGCTTTTTTATTGCTTTTGTAGTCAACTGTCAAGTTTTTGACATTTTTAAAACATCTCGGAGTCTGAGATTTTCCAATTACTAACAATTTTTTTTTGTAAGAACCAGTCATATTAGAGGCTACAAGAAGCGTGAGTCGCTCTTTAGATAATTTACCACCACTGCATGTTTCCCCTTTAAAACGTAATGTTTGAGACGGTGTTAGACGGTAAAACAATCCAGTTTCATCAGCGTTATAAATGTCACAATCTGCATAATTTTTACGCAAATTAGGCCAAACGTGTTCCAGCCAATTTTCCGAAACACCAACAGGAACGCTTGACGATTCTCCGCTTATTTTTCCAAAAACAATATTGTGTCTTTGACGAAAACGGGTAATCCAAGAGGAAGAACATTGAAAATCGATTTTATTAAAACACTTCCCGAATTCGGTCGCTTTTTCTCGAAGTATCGGACCACTTATTGGAATATTTTTAGATCGTTGTATTTTGAACCATTCCAAAAGAGCCTGTTCGACGTCTTGATGTTGGCTACATTTTAATCTTTTGTTAGATGTCACGTCTTTTTGAAAAACGCTTTTTATTTGGTCTTTTGATTTCCATATGGTAGATAGTGTTGATTGACTAATTCCTAGCTCTTGGCAAAGATCTTTATTAGAAACACCACATTCTAAGCGTTCAATTATTTTCACTTTTTCAGCAATAGTGAAACAGCGTCTTCTTTTATTTGACATTTTTATCTACGGAGTTCGGAACGTGTCTAAACGGATAGCAATCAAAACGGCGACTAAACGAGTAAGAAACGTATGCTGTATACAGTACGGGCGTACAAGACACATTATCTGTTACAGATAAGATTAAGAATTATCGATTTGGACGAAATCAAATTTACTACTACAATACTGTATTATTAATCGCTATAGGTGATCAATAAAAACCAATTTTCGTTTTAAAATAACATCGCTATATCCGGATTATCGTTATAACCGATATCGTTATATACGAATAAAAATACTACACATAACATATAAAACCAACCAAATACATCGCTTGGAATCGTTTTACCCGGATTATCGTTGTATACGGCATCGTTATAAGCGAATTTCACTGTAATTATAAGCATTTACTTGCTCTAGTGTGTCACCATGTAATATAATTTGAGTTTAAGTTCTTTTGTTACAGCTGCAAACAAGGACTTTAGTCTTTGCCTTATTCATTTTCATATTGTATTGTTAAATTTATAAATAAATAAATAAAAGAAGTCCCAAAAAGTACACTAATATAATGGAAGATATTTATGATTGCGCTTGTACCAGGGTAAAGAATGTAGTAGGAGTAACAAAAAGTTTTAGGGTAAAATATGATGCCGTGGTGCATGTTGTTTACTGACGATAATAAAGTGTTAATAAGAGAAGCTAGGGAGGAAATTAATTAAAAACTAGAGGTATGGAGATCAGCTCTTGAAGAATATGGTTTAAAAATAAGTAGAGGTATGACAGAGTATATAGAGTACGAGTTTGACAAAGGAGAACACAAGGTAGGTAAAATGAAGAAGTAGAAGAATTAAGGCAAGTAAAAATAGGAAGAAGAAGATAATAATTTAGCACTATGTTTTCGAAAATTAAAAATATGTTATTTAAAATGCATAAAATAATTTAAGTTCGATTGTAGATAAAATAATTCGGAAACCACAATAGATGCAATTTTTACACGATATCTTTATAACGTCCATTCAAAAACTTACATTAGTTATTTTAGTAAGCATAAACCCAACCCAACCCAACCTACCATTGATAATAACAATGCTGTGTACCTTCGATTGATGTCATAAAAAAACAATTAGCTACCTGTATTTGTAATCTCTTGTGTATTGTACATGTATATTAACTCAAAAATTTGAAACTTTAAATGTTTATATCTAATAAACAAATAAAGTTATATTAAAAATTCAAACATTTTATTAAATTCAAAATATATTTTCACATTTGAAAAAAACAAAGTTGACATCCCTGCAAGGCATAAGGGATTAACTTAAAAAGTATTACGTAGTTAATAATTCAATAATAATTTGTAACTAAAAATAACCCCCCCAAAAAAAAAATGTTTAAATTATATTTATTTTGTAAGTAATTGAGTAGATTATGATAAAAAAAATCACTCTGTAGAATTAATTTTTATAAAGCTTGGTCCGAATGGTTTTTGGCGCTATCTATTAGAATTTAAAAAAAAAACAATTTATTTTGATAACTAGATAGCAGTAGATTAGGATGATTGCAATAATTTTCTTAAAAATGAAAAAAATGTGGGATAGTTCACTCTGTCTCTGAGCGCCTCAAATATTTGGAGCAAAGAGATATATTGTTAATAAGTTACTTAAACAACACAAATTTTTATTATTGGAAATTAAAAACTGTTTGCATTCAATATTATCAATGCCAATTTACTTGTAAAATTTAAAGTTTTATGAGTTAATTTAAACGATTATTTTCATAAATATTTAATAGTTCAATGAGTCAGTAAGATAATTTGATATAACTAGAGACTGATTTGAACAATTTCAATTTCAATGAAATATTTAGTATTTTATTATACTTATAAATACAAGTATAATAATTTATAAAACAACTTATTATAAACTAATTTAATCACCAAACTAAAAATTATCTGAACCATGAAGTCTGTAGAAAAGTAATACGACCAAGTCAATAATAACTAAGTTAATCATTTAAATTTCAGTACTAAGAGTATCTTGTTGGCTCAAAGCATTAGAAAGTATTAATGAAAAAAATGTTCGAAATAGTTATATAAAACTACTAGTTATGGCATTACAACATCCAGAACCTTTATGTCCATTTAAAAATTTTCCACCCGATAGAATAGATCCATTAGAAAATGAAGTAACCTAATCCATGCAAAGTAATTTATAGTTAAAAACTTAATTTTTCATTAATATAGTTTATAGAAATAGCTAGACAGTTCATGAAAAAAAAAGAAACTTTACTATGTGTGGCTGAGACTCCAATAAATTCCAATCCAATAATTACTACAGCGGTATCTAATGATAAATGTCAGTATGCTGCCACTCAAATTATAGAGAATGTTGGAGTACAGAGTTACTTTGCGCACTCGAATGATAATATACATAATTGGATATTACCACCACAAATTATAATTCCTAAAGAGCATATGCATGCAAGTGATGTAGACTGGGAACGAACAGCAGCAGGAATTCAATTAAAAAATATTCCCATAAATATTAAGGAACAACAAGAAAGTGATGATGAGTATGTTTATTTTATACATATACATAGTGAACCAGCTTTAAATGAAAACTCTTACAACTTATGATAAAGTCAATATTTTGTTATGATTTATTTATGCGTTCTTAGACTAGCTTAAAAATATTTATTTTTGTTTTTTAGTAATAAATATAATAATTTTTTTTATTTCAAAATAGCCTGATTTTAGGACTTTTTTTACAAAAATGATAAGTGTTAATAATACTTTGAGGACAAATATAAAATGTAGTAATACTAAAAAATGAATCCAGATTCGATCTGTAATTCGGTTTGAACTATTTATTCCTGATTATAGATTGATCAAAAATGTGCTCATCTCTAGTATGTAGTGCAGGTAGGTAAAGTTCGTACTGGTGTATATGTATAAAAAATATTCTACCCGCGTTAACGTTTCTATACCTAGGCGGGCGGAAGAGTGAGGCTGACAGATATCTAATAAAAAAAATAGTAACACTCATTCCTCTCTCCTATCATTACTTTAAATTGTTAATAACTAAATTGAAATACTGGTCTAAAAGTTGTAATCTTTATGGGAATAAACATAATAATAATCAAATACTATATGATTGATAAATTAAAAATATATAACTAAAAGAACCAATAAATACATTTTTTTTTTTCGGTTTTTTAAGTTGTGAGTGATGGACAAATCACTCTGTTAATATAATTAATAGAATTGGTAATATTATAAAATGAAACACTTCAAATTAATACTTGGAGCATATTTGGAATATTTAGGGCAGCAATGATGAAAGTTGAATCACTACCCTGTCGATTATTGAATGTAGAACAACAAAATCGAAATATCACGGAAAATTTCACTTGGAGTAATTCGAGTTTGTTGACCGGAGAAATAACACTAGGTGCAGAGATGTGCTCAGACCGAAATATCGATGCTCAAGTAAAAACACAGATTGAGTTAGATGAAGATGCTATAACAGCATACGATAAAATTTATCCTGGCGATTTTAAAATAGTAGTGAATTCATTAATTGTCAATGAGATAATTGGTAATAAAAAACATATCGTATCAGAATCAGGAGATAAAAGTAAATATTAATAATATTATAAGTAATCATTTATTAACATGCTTATATTAGTTTCACATGTATGTGGGTTGTGTGTTTGAAACTTTCCACGCGGCACGTATTATTATTCTCGCGTATCACGTCGTCTATTACCTTGAGACTAGACGTCATAACGCATTCACCCCACCCTGCTCACCACACACCGTAAACACTAAGGACCCCGACATACTAGGACGGTTGTGCCGTACGGTTATATCACCACGTGCCACATTAAACGGTTTGAAAACGGTTTTGCCGCGTTTTTTGGTTTATAATTCAATAGTTTATATTTTATGAATAATGGGGCTGTGCCCTTTCAAAACCGATATTTTTAGTGGGGTATGTATGAACTTTAATATCAATAATACATTTACATATTTGTACTTAATCTCTTTTTATTATTATTATTTAATTTTTTTTATAATGTATTTTAAATATGCACTACATACATCCACAAAAGTATTTTCTAAATTCTATAGTTTTTGTAAGTCATAATAATAATAATTTATAAACAACATAAAATATTATTTTGCTCATGTGAAAAACGTACTTCAGTTGAATTTTCAACATCTTCCTTAATACTTATAGGATCAAAATTACCAATTGTTCTATAAGACATGAAATAACAAAATTAAAAAATTTAATATTTATTAAATTTCATATTTTTTTTGTTGTTAATAAAAATGAAATATTAAGAAGATAGTTGAGACTGTCTTCCAGATACAACAATATAAATCTAAATCCGAGCCAGTTGGATGATGAATAATTCTGCAACTAATATACATCAATTAATAAAGATCATTTTTTTAAATAATAGTTTAAATGACAAAATTATCTATAAATAATAATACATTTCACTTAAATATATTGTTTTAGGTTTTTAATACCTGAACTAAACAGATAGTTGCTGATATTACTGAAAAATAATATAATATTTAAAAAAATACTTTAAGTTAATTTATAAATTTCTCTTATATTAAAACTTTATTTAATACTCAATAAATATTATAAATTTATTATTTAAAAGAGTACATTTACTTTTCTTTTTAAATTCTGGTGTTAAAAATGATAATACATCCTCATACACATATTTTTTTGTGAGGTTTGGCTTCACTACCAGATTTAGTTTTCCTAATTCCATTAACAATTCGAGTGTAGTTATCCCAATATTTATCCATTTTTTTTTTAAATCAACAACTGTAATTAATATGTAAAATTTATACAACAATTTATTAAGAAAAGAAATATACGGAGAACTGTACATAGTAGTTGTTTGCGTTTATGTAAAGTATTACAGACGTAATACAATTTTTTTTAAATATACAAAAAAATCAAAATAGTTGGATAAAATTGATAGCTATAAAATGTAAATACATTTACAGGATATCAATATAATATTTTTTTAGCACCAGTAAATAAGCATTTGTTGAATTATCACGTAATATAAAATGTATCAATTCGCTATAATTTAGTACAAACTAAAAATAAAAAACCCAGCAAAGCGGGGTCGCGGCACAGTGGTGACGTGGCATTGTTGGATTAAGTATAATGATATCTGACAGTGATTAAAATCACTATAAAAAAAAAACGCTTCGATACAAATCTTTAGATAGTATTTAATTTTAAAAAATTGGTATATTATTCCAAAAGCTATATAATCTGCTAGTTCCTTATTAATATCCTGATTAAGATAAAGTATGTTGAAGAAAAAAGGGATTATTAAAAAATATTATTTCTCATTAA